ACCTCAGACCACTACCGTCAGTTCGCGTCGCACGCGTCTGGAGGTCAAGCCGGTCCCTTGATCCAGTCCAAGCGAGTCCAAGTGGCATTGTTGCCGAGGATGGTTGACCAATGGTTTTTTGGGGGGGGCACATATGATCATGCATGATGGAGCTCATGTCACATGGAAAATTCCACAGCAAATCGAGTCTCAAAATAATCGAATGACAGGAAGAAAGAAGTGGCGAAAAAACTGCAAACGTCTGAAAGGATAAGATTGCAGAGCGGCAGCCAAGCGAGCCAAGCCCACAAAGCTTCTCAGGAACAATCTTGCCACACGACTCTACACTCTACATGCCCACATCTCACAACCATTAAAGTCCTGGCAGTTGGGAAATGTGGTGCATCAATACAAAGCCTTCCACGGTCCTTAGATCTATACACGTAGAAAACCGTTAGCCTTTAGATGCCTTTAGCGTTAAGTATTTGCCAATGAGGTCGTCTGTGGCACATCCTGAGGGCCTTCCTGAGCACCAAGCCGAGCCACAGAGCTCAAGCCTGGCATGGGGACGATGTGTGCGAAGGCGCCATTGAAGGGCAAGGTCTGCTTGCACCGCATGTTGAGGCATCCATCCTGGGTCGCTTCACTGTTGCACTGGTAAGAAAAGCTCTCTATCGAGCACTGTCCAGATGCAAAATTGCAATGATGATTCCGAGATCAATAGCAAATCGTCGATGGGCTCATGAGCGAGACCGCTAATTTGACTTCCTTTTTGCCCCTCTGCTAACAGCAGTGTTCAAGCGTCTGTGAGCCACACTGTGTTCTCGGAAAAGACCAGGGCCATGAGCTCCGTACGTTTGCCTGATCGGTGAGGAAAACAAATGAAAAAGGATTGTTTGCAGTGGCGAGTGGTGAAAGTGCAATGAACTCACACTCAAGAACCCCCACGACCCCAATGAACAACCCCTGCAAGTGGTGCAAGCACAACTTGATCGAAACCAAAAAAAAAGCAAAAAAACAGAATGACAGAATCATACAGAATCCCTGAGGCAGCCGAGGCATGTCATGCCAGGGTGCTTGAATGGACCTGCTCACGTGCGAGTTGGGCATGCTGGCTGCTCAAGATTTGAACCCTCTGAAGAAGTTCCTGGCCGCAGGCTGCAGGGGGATTGTAGGCATTGTAGGCCATGTCTCACCGGATTCCGAGAAGTCTTAGGGATAGCTGGATCAATCTGATCCTTGAACAAGGCCTCCATAAAGCCTTCCTGGCCCATGTGGAACAAGCCCAATCCACTCCGCACTGACGAAAAACACATCCGGCCCCTGAAAGTGCAGCAAACATCTTCCAAAACCGCTGATGCTGACGAAGCGTCATGTGCAAAAATACGTCAAAATGATGTTGTAAATAGAGGACCGCTGCAAAACATGATTGATTCAGGTGCTTTTCAATTACCAAGAGCATCCAAGAACTCTCTTGCTGGTTGTTCTGTTGGTGCTTCCCTTCTAAACTGAGCATGCAGCATGGCGTATTATGTCGTATTTGAGGCCTGCCCCTCCCTGCCCATGGATTTCCGCGACTTGGAGAACCAAACCCTGCTAACAAGTACTCTAGGCTTGAAAAAGGACAACATAACTACCAAGAATATGGAAACAAAGTAATTTGGCATCTCCACTGCGAGTGTGGGGATGGCAGAAAAATACAGGTAGAAGAGCCATCCAGCCAGCATCCACTGCTCCATACTCGGTCCTGAGGTCCCAGGAGGCTCAAGACTCCGCGGATGATCTCTGCTGGCAGGGCTGCGCCACTGTTGCTGGTCCATTCCACCGTGTCCTCCTCGACTCCTGGCTACATCTGAAAGATTCTGAAAGATTCTGGAAGGTTCGAAGTTCAACCAAACCACCCATGTATATACAAACATTACAACATATTACAACCAGATTGTTGGACAGTTGGACAAGGTTTTATTGAAAAGAAACATTTCACCACAGGAATGCAATGGGCCTGAATTGTGGCTTCAAGTGCTTTTTCCAAAGGAATCGAAGTATAAAGGAACCTGCTACTTGCCACTAGTTACGCCACCTTCCAATCGAAAAACCGCGCTCCCGCCGATGTCCGAACCCAACCCCCCGCAGACGTCGGGGGCGACGGTGTTTGCACCGGTCGCCTTCGGAAGGATTCGATGCACCGGGCACGGTGGACACGGTGCGGATGCTTCGCAAGGGGATCCAGCACACATTCCACACTCTCCTGCAGGTCGTGAGACGACAAAAACGTGAAGGGTCGGTGTTTCGGCGTTGGAAGCCAAGTGAGGGTTTCTGAAGCTATCTTCTCTGGCACTTTCACTTGCCAAGGAAGGTCTTGCACATGGCAAGCCCAGCAGGTCCCATGAATCCGCCACAACTCCAGCTGCATTCATACCGCATGCTGCATCTACATGCCAGCTACCTTGACATTGTACAGCAGGAGGCCAATCAAAAACAAAAACAACCTCGCCACCAACAGCTCAATTCTTCCTTTTCCATCTGCGCTTCCGAGTCTACCACCATCTACCACCCCTTGCCGCCGGTCCTGCTCTCTGCGTGGGCGAAGCAGCGTACGATCCGAGGGTCTTCCCATGGGCAGGGCCAGCGTGGAGGTGTCGTGCAGCAGAGCTGCTCATCCAGCCGCGGCGCCTCGACCACCTGGACATCCTGAGAGACTGAAGGGAAACCCATGCTGGGCCATCATCTTCCCCAACGACCCCCTGGTCTTACAATGTTGCATGAAACTGGTGTTCAGAGGGCACATGATGACACATTGCTCCTTTCAGGGGGCGCCGCCCTCTAAGAGACACACGTGTAAATAAGCTTCAGTGGGGGGTCAAAGCGGGGTGTGGTCTTGCAGCCTCGGATAATGCGCTGATCATGCAGGAGATGCATGTGTGTCAACTCACCCTGGATTACGTGCAAAAAGGTTAACCTGGTTGGCGGTCATCACATGTCAAAGGAAAGCACATGAAAGCACACTCATTCATTAGTGCGTTCTTTATGTGTCATTCGACCTTCCCATTACTTCTTCATAATTGAGCCTTGTGCCTCTAACGCATACACTCTCCAATGGCATGCGGCTCCTGCTGCCCTTCATATGCAAGGCTCGTGATCCTGGAACGCAGCCAAATCAGGGGACTCCATTGAAGAGGGCGGCACCACATTGAGCACTGACACCTCAACAAGGGATCAGGTGAAACCTGTCAAAGACCACCAGTGTTTCGTCCGAAACATGCTGAAGCCAAGCACCCAACATCATCCGACATCAACATCAGACTCCTCACTACAGCGGGGATTTGCCAATCTTAACTCATGGTCCTTGCCCCAAGACGCAGGAAGACATAAGAAAACAAACAAAGGAACGGGTCCATGGGAGACAAAACCTCCGATCTTTCACCCGCGCCAGCTGCCCCACGTGCGTGGTGACCAACGCGTTCGACCAATGCATGGCACCTCTCCACCCAAGGAAGCCACGATCGCCAGCTGCCCCACGATGTCTATGCAGGGCAGGTTCTCGGCGAAACGGTGCAGCAGTAGTGGGGCTTTCTCCTTGGTCCGAAAAAGGTCCGTAGGCAGGGCCACTGAGCTTTCAGTACACACATGTCCGGACGGATTTAGAGGTGATGCTACGGTTATCTCCAATTGGATCCAATTGGTCCAGACCCATTGCAGGAATTGCTCATAGCTTGCATTGATACCTCCTGTGCCAGCTCAGGCTTGCGCAGGCTTGCTCGAAGGCGTCTATGAGTTTGTCACCAATTCGGGAGAACCAAGAGAGTCATTTCTTGAAAGGGAATTGATTTGCCATGCCTTCATTATGAGACAGACCAAATAAGCTTCTCCAACATGATAAGATGGGTTAACCGAGCAAGCCACAGATTCTTGCTGGGGAACACCCCATTCCCTCATATTCCTTCATCATGTTCCACACATGTTCCCTCCAATTCTCCACTGTTGCACAGCAAACTTGCCCCACTTTCCATGAATGCCGGGCGTCCCCTTGGCCCTTGACCTGTTGCAAATACCACGAGCTGCGTGGCCGCCGCTCCTCGCGGTTGTCCCCGCCGCCATACCCGGCGCCATGCCCGGCAGCTCTGGAGGCTTGGCCCGGGCTGGGCGAATCAAAGAGCCACCAGGCCTGGAGCAAGATTTACAATGGTTTCAGAGTACTTAGATGGCACTGGCACCCCAAGATGTCCTTTAGATGGGGGTCCATATAAACCACCGACCTTGGGGGCGATTGTGCCATCTACTCTGAACCCACTCTATTGACTCTGCCACAACAGTGTGCAAGTGTGGCAGGACGCCCTGCCGCAGCTTCATTCATGTCCGATCGCTAACCCTGCACCTTCAGGCAGTGATCATTGGCCGAAACCAGCAGGGGACCTGTCTCTTTGCCTTGGCTCCAACATCCCACGAAGGAGCCAGTAGTGATGGCACTGACTCCTATAGAAGTCTTGCATGAAAGCAGGTTCACCATTCACTATTCATTCTTTCTCACTCTCTTGCGCACAGAGCGGTCAAGCGCAGTGCCTTCTCACGTGGAAATGAACTATAGAGCTAGTTTAGTTACGTGCACAGGGGCAGTTTCACCACACAAAAAGCAAGCAAACACAGTTTCGGCGTCGGTCTCGCTAGGCATAGCTAGGCGTCCCTCGTCATGGGGCGGCAGGCCAATGCCCCAGGTGGATACGCCCTGCAAGGGCAAAGAGTAGGATGCAAGGAGCAACAATGGAGAAAGCCTGGAGATTGGTTACTAGTACCGTAACTAATACTTTCTTGCTCCTAGTAGTACGGCCAGGAGCTACTAGCAGCGTCCTTGCTCCTAGTAGCGATGCCCTTTGTTACTAGTAGCTTCTTGTTACATCTTGTTACGACATCTTCAGAATGTGATGCAAATATGTTAAACCGTGTTGGTGTACAGTAGGTGTAGGATCCCTGAGCAACAAACCCAGCGCAACCTCGCATGATCTGTGAAACCTCATGCCACTCGCCTGCTCTCCCACCCCCGGATTCAGCAGTTTGATGGGTGGCAGCTTGGCATTCACCAACGATGGCGCCACTAAAACGCCGCCCGCGGCATCCACAGCTGCCACCACAGGTTGCCGGCCCAGCTGCCCGCAGCGGATCCGGTTCACTTGGCCGCTCAAGGAAGGCAGGTGGGCGATCAGCACTTGATTTCCTCGGAGCACCAGGTCTGTGCACCGCAAACTGAGAAATCGAGCCACCAGACTTTTGGGAGTTGCTTGGGCATGAGGCAAAGTTTGGTCAACTAGCTTGGGCATGATGCTTGCGCGGTTGCATGAATCGAGCATCGGCTCAAACTTTCTGACATACTGCGGCATACGGCATACCACCTAAACTATGCATTTCCTGTTTATATATATATATATATAAAGCAGTTCATAATTTGTAATTGTATAGGTTTGTGCCTGTCAACGGCATGCGACACTTCACCCACCCTCACCTCGCCAAGCGGCTAAGGTTCTGATCCTGGATCTGCGCTTCCAAGCCCGTCAGCGAGAAGCCGAACAAATCTTGCCTGGTCTTGGGCAATCAGGGTGGTTCTTCTTCCGGACGGACCCAGAAGACTTTACCCTCCGCAATCCCTGGCACTCGACATGTTTAAAGGAACTTGGACCCTAATGCAGCAAACAGAAGATCGCAGGGGGGTGAATTGATCGATACCCATGCGCGGGAAAAGGACGGAATCTGATGGGAGGCCCAAACTTAAAGAAAATACCTCCCACATTCCGCCCTATATTCGGGCAAGATCGGGCAGCCTCCTCTGAGGACCTCAGGGTCCCAGGGGGCGGGCGAAGTTCAGTTCCCATACTCCCTTGCTAAAGCTTGGAAATTCCAAAAGATAGGGTGGCCTTGTGCTTGTTGGTACGATACGTTTCTCATGATGCCAAGGTCTGAGGACCAAAAACAACTTGTCACGTAGTCCTGGCAAGAATAAGCCAAAAGCAGCCCTGTCCTTTTCTCTGCAACCCCCAACACTGATAGCCTTGAAGGCTAGCCTGGCCCTACCATTTCTCCAGGCTGCTGATTCGCAATCCAAAGCATGTTTGAGGCAGAGCAAGCATCCATGACCTGAGGTTCTCACTGCAAGCTGGAACTGCCACGATTGAGACTTTTCGATACCACCACAGACTGGCCAATGGCCGACCAGCGGCCATTACCAGCTGCACCTGCTGAGCATGGTTGATTCTTTTGTCACCTACCCCAAGAGACTAACAAACCATCATTCAGCCAAGGCGACGTTCATGGGAGGCCCATTGGGGCCGAATTGCCAGAGCTCAGACTGGCCCAATGGCATCTTTGGGACTTCCCAACTCTTCTTGCATTTCCTGGTGGAGTTGTGTGTGTGTGTGTGAGAACCACTGCAGGCTTTCAAGGAAAATCGTTTGATGGGAACCTGGCCTCCCCAAGTGTCAAGAAGCCAAAGGACTTGGGGATGGACTTGGGGATCCCAGCTGCGTCTGTCTATGGAGGTTTTTCAACGCTCAAACCTCTCGACCGTTCCTACCAGGTCACTTAAGGTATCAGTGGCGCGGTTGGTGGTCTCTTCCAACTGGCGCGGTTGGCTGTTGTCCGAAAAGACTCCATGACACCAAAAACTAGTCCTAGGGTATCAAAGAGTTTTAACTTGCAACCTCTTTTGCACCACCAAGCTGCAATGTGAGGCAGAGTGAAGCAGCTTTGGCCACACCGCCGGGATCGCTGCCCCAATCATTGAAATCCTCAAGGTTGCGCTTGGAATCATGCCGCTTGGCCAGGGCGGAAGAACCCTGGTATTCCATTGCACCAGTCACAAGCCACAAACCAATCTGCTTCAGTTTGAAATGCGAATCAACATGACTTCTAAGCCTCTAGCTTGGATACGTTGGATGCTTACATCATAACACCATTTCACCACCACCATCACCACCACCACACCAACAACAAGAAAAAAAGAAAACTGCAACAAAAGGCTCTCGAATGCCAAGAAGCTGGAATGGGATCCGTCTGGTTTACATCAAAGTCAGTTCCTAGGGAGATATCGTCATCTGACTCCACCATGTCATAGGCTTGCTGTCCCAATGACTCCAAAGGATCTTCGAAGTGCTCCTCCTGGCACAAGCAAGTGCACGAGTGGGTGCACTGCAGCTGGCGAAGTGAGAGCCAGCTACCAGGAGCTTTCTCTCTCGGAGACGGACGATCAACTCAAAAAAAAGGCCTCAGGTGGCAACATGGGTCAGGCACCCCTCTACAGCAAGCGACTACATTGACATACAACCCAGGCTTTTGGAAGAAAGATTGACGAGGCAACCTTTCTCCACGTGTCGCCCACGGACAAACTCCCAACCAAAAACGAGTTCCTGGAAACACCTTTGGTTTGTTGCAAATTTGGTGATTTGATGTCTGATTTGTCTGTGGCTGTGCCCAGCTTATCCCTCCTCACCTCGACGAATTGCTCAAGTTGCTCCAAGAGTTGGTGGTGACCATCCACCCATTCCTGCCAGTGCATGGTAGTGTCCATGGCGTTCAAAAGCGATGCGTTCGCCTTTCGTAAGGCATCTCACAGCATGTTCCAGAAGGGAATTGGGCCAATCGGGTCACAACCCTGCACCCACCATCTAAACTAGCACAATGAAGACAACCATGGGATCCGTCCTACGATGTTGTAGAGTCTCTAGCTCTTTTGACCCGCACCCACATTGGTTGGCTTTGTGATGTTCTATGCTTGCCCTCAGTTTGCACACAGAAGCATGGCTCTTTGACTAGTCTCCATGTCCCAAGCACCTGGGCCAAAAGGCCCTCCATCTCACATCCAGCTGTTGAAGTCGGTCGCTCCCACCTCGTTGGCATCACCCATCCAATCCTCCACCTCGTCCTGCGGTGCAAGACGCCACACCGCTGCAATGAGGCGCCAGGTGTGCCATGCCTCCCCCATCTGCCACGTGTTTCTTTCCGTAGCTGCCGTGATTTCTGCTGGAAGAAGTGATTCAAGAACAACCGTGGAAATAGTAGGGAAGCGTGGCTCTAAAACCTGCCACGTGGCTCAGCACGCAATGTGTTTGTCTTGATCCCACCCTTTCGGAGATGAAATCTCCCGGGAAATGGACCAAACAAGTCAATCCCCCTTCAATACCCTATATACACAGACTGAATAGCTGAGCTCTAGCGGCTCGCTCTCGTAGCTCCTCTTCAAGCAGCTCTTCAGCCAGCTCTTCCCGAGGCTCTTCATCAGCATCCTGACACCAAGTGTCGACAGTGTCCGTGAACAATCGATTCGGGAAGTGTAGAACCAGACTTAACTCTTTTGGCTTGGATTCTCTGTTGAGATGTCGATATTCGGCGTGAGCTTGTCATTCTTGTCCATCAATCAACGGCAAAACAGCATTGTTGTCAGGGTCCAGTTGACTCGATTGGTTTGTCATAACTTGAGGCCAAGGGGGGGGGCGAAAGCTAGCGCTCCAGAATGGGAAAGTGGAGGGCAGCGAGGTAGGAAAAAACACGGCGCTCTTTTTGGAGGCAGGGGTGAAGAGTCCTTTATATGTGGCTCTTTGCCCGGATCCTCCTGCGAGAGAAGAGAGAGAAGAGAGACGGAAAGACGAGAGACAGAGAGGAGAGAGCGAGAGAGAGGAGAGAGAGATGAGAAAGAGATGAGAGAGATGAGAGAGATGAGAGAGATGAGAGAGATGAGAG